CCAGCCAGGGAGCTGACCCACATGGTGCAGCAGACCTCTCCTGACAGCGCCCTGCTCATCTTGGCAGTGTATTTCAGTAGATCCACCTGTTCTGTTCCCTACTCTGTCTCTGATGAATCCTCTCACCCCCCCCCCACCCCGCCCCACCTCTGGCCTACACCCCAGGACTTGTATGCATAAATAAATAATTCTTAAAAAAAAAGAAGAGAGAGAGAGAAGAATATAAAAGGAATTCAAATTGGGAAAGAAGAAGCAAAGCTATCATTATAAGCAGATGACATGATAATATACATTTAACCTTATATTCTCCCCTGAAAATATAGTTGAAACAATAAATCTGTTCAGCAAAGTGACAGGTAACAAAATCAATACACAAACATCAGTTGCTTTCTTATATACAAACAATGAACAAGTTAAGAGGAACAAGTTAAGGAAACTATTTCTTTTACATTTACACATTTAAGTTCATATATATATGGACTTAACAAAGGAAGTAAAGAACCTATACAAAGAAAAAGGTAAGACATTGTCAAATGGAAAGTAGAAGATACAAAGAAATGGAAAGATATTCTCTGATCATGGACTGGAAGTATTAACTTTGTCAAAATGGCTATCTTTTCCAGAAGCAATATATAGACTCAATGCAATCTGCATCAAAGAGTTCCAATGGTATTTTTCAAAGAAATAGAAAAACAAGGGCCTCCCCGGTGGCGCAGCAGTTGAGCGCTGGGTTGTGAAGCTGCCTGCGGCCTCTGCAGCGCCAGTTCGATCCCCGGCTGCTCCCCGGCCACTGGAGGAGGGTCCCACATGGTGTGCAGATCTCTCCTGCCACCCGCTGCTCCCCTCAGCAGTGTACTTCGTTCCTTCTGCCTGCTCTGCTCCCTGCTCTGGCTCTGGTGAATTCTCTCACCCTCCCGCGCTTCTGACTGTACCCAGTGCATGTATAAACAAACAAACAAACAAACAAATAAATAAAACATGACTCTATTAAAAAAAAAAGAAATAGAAAAACATTATTGAAATTGATGTGGAACCACAAAAGATCCCAAATAGCCAAATCAATCCTGACAAAAAAAAAAAAGAGGATGAATGGCTGTATCACACTTGCAGTCTTCTAACTATGCTACAAAGGTACAGTAATCAAAACAGCATGATACTAGAATAAAAATAGATACACAGATAAAAAGAAAAAATTGAGTGCCCAGAAACAAATCCACACCTATATAGATAGTTAATCTCCAGTAAAGGAACCAAGAATATACATTGGAGCAAGGAAAGTCTCTTTAATAAGTGGGGCTTTAATAGGTGGGGGAAAACTAGAGAGGTCATATAAGAGAATGAAAATAGATCACTCTCTCACACCATACTAAAAATCAAATCAAATCAAAATGATAAAAGACTTGAATGTAAGAACTGAAACCATAAAATACACAGGAGAAAACAGACACAACACTCCACAACATAGGCTAATATACCTTTGGGACTTTGTCCCAGCAGCAAGGAAAATGAAAGAGAATATAAATAGTGGAACTAAATCAAAACAAAAAGCTTCTGCAAAGTAAAAAAAAAAAAAAATCACTAAATAAAAAGACACTCTAATGAAAGGGAGGAAATTTTTATAAACCATGAATCTAGTAAGGGGCTGATATTATGATCTCAAAAAAAAAAAAAGTTAAGAAATGGGCAGATGAGGGCCTCCCCGGCGGCACAGTGGATTGAGTGCAGTGCTGTGAAATTGTCTGCAGCCTCTCCAGCACAGGTTATATTCCTGGCTGGCCAGGGAGATAAGCACATGGTGCCGCAGATCTCTCCTATCTTGCCTGCTGCTCCCTTCAGCAGTGTTTTTGGTCCGTCTGCCTGTTCTGCCCCCCACTCTGCCGCTGGTGAATTGGTGAATTCTCTCACCCTCTTGCATCTCTTGTATAGTTCTTGTATAAATAAATAAATCTTCAAAAAAAAAAAAAAAAGAAAACAAAAATGCTGATTTACAAACTTGCCCTTACAAACTCAGTCTCTCAGCCCAGGTGTACCCACTCCAGGTGCCTGCCATCAGGGATGCATTCAGGACCACAGGGTTCCCTCATCTATCCTGATGGTGGGAGGGCAGAAAAGCCTGATACTTTTACCTTACCCTACAGGGTTGTATAAAGCCAAACTAAAAACTAACCATAAAAAACTGACTATAGAACTGAGGCTACCAGAGAGGCATGGGAGGGGAAGGAGTGAGAACAAAGTGGGGCGGAGGCACAATGACTGTGGGGATGGACTATGGTGGTTTTGATGGTGGGGCAGTGTGGTAACAATACCTCAAGAAGGAGTTTGTATGTTTCTAAAACATGATATAAACCAAGGTTACCTCAAAAAATAAAAGTAAAAAAGAACATTAATCATAATTCAGGTCTATAACCAAGGGGAAACCCCAAGGTATTTGTAGAGTCCGGAACGGACACAGGGCAGGTTTTCTAATATCCAGCAGACCAGGTAAAGGAGGAATCAGAGTCCTTAGTGGCTTTTTGCAGGTCTTTTTATTGGGATTTACCCGGTACACAGCAGATAAGGGTGCTGGGGGGCCGGGAGGCTGGCAGTCCTGCCAGCCCCCAGCAAGTCTTCACTCTATGTGGGCTCTCCAGCCTTCTCTCAGCTTCTGCTTCTCTCTCCGCTTCTCTTTTGTTCTCTCTCGGCTTCTCTTTAGGCTCCTGCGGCTGCTGCTGGCATCCCCATGACGCCCCCTTAAAAGCCCAGTCTTAGCCCTGCTGAATCCCATCTACCTCTGCCCACACCCTACTCCAGGTGCCCACCATCAGGCATGCATTCAGGACCGCAAGGTTCCATCATCTATCCTGATGGCGGGAGGGCAGAAAAACCTGACATTCTCTTTACCCTACAGTATTTTAATGCCAGAGTTAGGACACAGGGAAGTTTTAGAGGAACAGGCAGGGAGATTTTCTGAGGTTAGGTTATTTGTGTTGACCTTTGGGTTGATTTGCAAGTCCATTTACCTGACTCTGGTTGGCAAAGTCTTTCAATAGTTGCAGTGTGGAGGTCAAGAAATGTTAGCAGGCAGCTCTTTGTTTCTTTGTTTGCATGTTTGTTTATTTATTCATTTATTTATTTATCAACTAGTGACCAAGGACTGAGTCTGGTCATTTAATTTTCACCTAGAAGTCTCAAAACAGGTTCCACAGATGAATTTCGTACATTTACAAATATAAAGCCTCTTTAGTCACTCTGTGGCCTTCAGAGAGTAATTCAAAGTCAGATGTCACTCGAGTGAGGAGATAGAATAAATTGAAGATTCCACTTTTCTTCTTTTCTGAGTTAACTTTTTAGTACCACCTATTTTTCAGCTGTGGATTCTAGTCAGTGTTATTTTTAGCCCATCCATCAAGATTTGTGAACTATGTGTTATATATACAAAGCTAGCTCATCAATCAAAATTACAATAAAAATGCAAATGTTTAGGGGTTTCCTATTATACAAGAATGGCTATTTGAATTCTTGGTCTGAACATATTGTAATTTTAGACCTTGCTAAAATTAATTCCCTTGAGATTTTCCATCCACAAGCTTGGCAGTGTCTTTCCACAGTTCTTTGTTATGCTTTTCAGTCCTGACTTGCAACTTTGAGAGCTTGGGCAAGTTTAGTAGAAATGTTTTAATCCAAAGGAATAAAAACTTCTCAAAGGTTATCTATCTTGAACCGTGTCAAGTTTTCCATGAATGAGTGACATGAAATCTTTTCATGTGCTCTTTTTTATATTTGCACATCTGAATAAAGATATTTATAAATTGTTCTAGTATTTGTGGATAGCTGAATGATATTCATTCTTGAATACTCAGATAACTCAGTATCTTACCTAGGCACTTGAAATATGGTTTAAACAAACCTATTGGATCTTACACTACAGGGTCTTTTTTTTTTCATGGAAAATATCTGGGAAGCAGCTGGCTACCAGCTGGCACCTCATACTGTTTTATTGACATGGAATTGGTGCTTTAACAAGCTTAATTATAAAAGAACTTCACCTGCATGGCAGAACCCACTACCCCCCCCCTTATTTTTTTTAACACATTGCTGGGTTTTTTTTGAGGTCTGTTTTATAATTTCAGCCAAAACCATATTTGAAATGAAAGCTTTATATGGATACTCTTAATTTAATTAAAATGGAGTTAAACAAGTAAATTAAATATAGCTTCTTTTCTGTAGGTAAGATCAGGAATAGGAGTGGGGTATCTTGAAGATAATGGTGCTATCTACAAATTTGATTTAAGTGATAGATGTAGCTAGATCTTCTACTTCAATGAGTTGATAAGGAACCATCTGTTTAGCCCATATATCCTGAGGGTACCTTTATTTTGCTTAAGTATATGATAAAATTCAAGCCTCACATTTGATTAAAAGCACTTCTGGGGGGCTCCCTACTGGTGGAGGGGTTGCGTCTCAGGGCTATGGAGCTATTGCTATAGCCAGCTGCTGGGGTCTGAGTTTGATCCCTGGCCAGGGAGCTGACTGCATGGCACACTGGACCTCTCCTGTTTCACCCACTGCTCCCCTCAGCAGTGTATTTCAGTAGATCTGCCTGTTCTGCTCCCCACTCTGTCTCTGGTGAAATCTCTCACCACCACCCGCACACCTCTCGCCTCTACCTCAGTACATCTTTTTAAAATAGCACTTCTAAGTACTTCCTAATATAATTGATTTAGTTCTCAGCACACAAATGACACTTAGGAAATTCTATTGACTGGTTTATCCGAAGTCTATATGAATTTGCAGAAAAATTATTGATCACATATTTAAACATTATGTTATAAACCCATATTTTCTCTTTTTCATAAACTACTGTAAATGATGATGAATTGCTGCTACTCTCTTGGCACTGTTTTATTGCATGAACAAAAGATTGCTAACCTCCTTAAGATCATCACTTGGGGAAGGGTTTAAAGAGAGATTTAAAATTACCTTTCAAACATGCAGACAAAAAAGTGATGAAAATCTGTGGTTGGTGACAATAGTTATAATTCAATGTGAAAACATTACTTCTGAGTAAAATCCCTTGTTGCTTCTTGTGCTCTAAGATTTCTAGATCCTGGAAAGACAAAAGGTTACATGAGTAAATTAGATGTTAGTATGAAATAAGTGGGTCCACCCTTTTGGGCTTATATTTATAGTTTTCTTGTAGTCAATAAGGTAATTACATTTCTATTTGCCTGTAACACATGGGATTAGAGATATTTATAGATCTTGCAAAAGGAATTGGACACAGTTGGCTCAATTCAGCAACAATATTGCAAAGGACAGTGTTTTCTAAACTGAAAGTGTATGGAAGTATTACCCATGATGTTTACTTTGTATATTATTTTAAGAGGCTTGCTTAGCTGATGCACAATATTCAATGAGAGAGAAATGCCTATAACTTTGGACATCCTTGGGGGGAACATGGTCCTGGAACAGAAAGAAAAAACACACTACGCCTCTTAGATTTATTATATGTATTGCATTATTCAGTCTGTTCTTTCAAATATTTTAATAGCTAAATTCAATTTCTCTCAAGCCCCAAGATTCAGATTCAAACCATATCCCCTGTAGCTTCCTCTGGGTTTCCTTTCTCATCACCCCCTCCCCACCTAGCAGGATTACTCTCTCCCCCATATCTGCTAACATCTCTGTGAATAGTGCTTTCCTTCTCTCTTACAGCACTTCTCAAGTTGCATTGCAATTATTTGTTTACCTGTCTTTCTCACCAGACTGTGAACTCTTCAAAGACTGAGACAGTGTTTTATTTAATTCATGAGATATACCCAGAGCCTGTCAGTATCTGGCACATAATAGGCACATAGTAAATGTTGAAAGAAAAAAATACAGGGAGATTAATGAATAGATGTAAATTATTGTCATCTTTGTTGGCACTCATGATAGCATGCAAAAAGGAAATGCCTATCTTATTACTCCTTCAATGTCATGTGTAGTCTCTTTTCTGGAAAACAGCAGAATGCTAAGCAGTCATCTTCACTCGATTGCCTGATTCCACAATAGCGATAGCAGCACTGTAATTAAAGTATATGCACTATCAAATCATTGAAAATCATTCCGACTTGCACTCTTAAAATCAACAGGTGTGGTTTTTCTTGTTTTCAACTGTAGTTCACTTACTATTTTAAAAAGAAATGATGTCTGGTTGGGTAAATAAAATTTGATAACAAAGGCTATACCTTTACACAAGATAGGATTGATTCTTGGGGGAAAAATGGAGGGTTGATTAAACGAAATCATTGAGGTGGCCAGAGATGGTTGTAGTAAAAGTAAACTCTCTCAAAGACCAAGATTAACACTGAAGGTTGGTGATTAAGATGACAATTGCAAAGTCTACTGGGTTTTAAGTTCATCTTTTGGTTTCACTAAAAATGAAATGCCTTCTAACAAGATTTCCCTGTTATTATATAAATTCATGTGCACTTAAGTCAAATTAAATTGTTCCCTTTCATTCATTTACACTTTAGTCATTGAAGAGATATTGGCTATGGATGAGAATCCTCTTTCTTGGTTTTACTACTTATTATTTTATATCCTCTTTATGTTTTTTCCCCTGCCATTTAAGAAACAACCTCACAGTAGTGCAACCACCTTCAATAGAAACTTTCTTGAAGAATTGAAAGAAATTTCACTCTCTATCCTTAGGAAATGTCTGATAGATTATATTGCTTTTATAAGTAAAAAAATTGACAACAGGGCCTCCCCGGTAGCGCAGCAGTTGAGCGCTGGGTTGGGAAGCTACCCGCAGCCTCTGCAGCGCCAGTTCGATCACCGGCCTCCGGGCGAGGGTCCCACATGGCGCGCAGACCTCTCCTGCCGCCCGCTGCTCCCCTCAGCAGTGTACTTCGGTCCTTCTGCCTGCTCTGCTCCCCGCTCTGGCTCTGGTGAATTCTCTCACCCTCCCGCACTTCTGACTGTACCCAGTGCTTGTATAAATAAATAAATCTAAGAAAGAAAGAAAGAAAGAAAGAAAGAAAGAAAGAAAGAAAGAAAGAAAGAAAGAAAGAAAGAAAGAAAGAAAGAAAGAAAGAAAGAAAGAAAGAAAGAAAGAAAGAAAGAAAGAAAGAAAGAAAGAAAGAAAGAAAGCCCTTGTTCTTGAAAAAAAAAAAAAATTGACAACAATATAACTTTCCAACATGAAAAGATTTCTTATTCACAGTCATATTATCAGAACCTAACGTAATATCTGGGACAAAACAAACTCAGTAAATAAATATTGAATATGGACTAACTGAAAATGAATGCTATAGGGTAATATACAATTTCTGTTTGGTGATTAAACCAGCAAAGTGGAATGCAAAGGTCATTTTCATGTTTAAGGCATGTGTGGAATTTCAATTGCTGTGGGAGGTCTGCAGAAATGGAAACTTTTGATTTATACACTATGCATATTTTTTCCCATAAAGAGAAAATAGGGAGTTTAGGCCTACACAGAAAAAAGGAAAGTTTTATTTATTTATTTATTTATTTATTTATTTATTTATTTATTTAAAAATTTATTTATTGGGGCCTCCCCGGTGGCGCAGCGGTTGAGCGCTGGGTTGCAAAGCTGCCCGCGGCCTCTATGGTGCCAGTTCGATCCCCGGCTGCTCCCCGGCCACTGGAGGAGGGTCCCACATGGCGCGCAGACCTCTCCTGCTGCCCGCTGCTCTCCTCAGCAGTGTACCTTGGTCCTTCTGCCTGCTCTGCTCCCTGCTCTGACTCTGGTAAATTCTCTCACCCTCCAGCGCTTCTGACTGTACCCAGTGCATGTATAAACAAAACAAACAAACAAATAAATAAATAAATAAAACATGCCTCTATTAAAAATAAATAAATGGATAAATAAATAAATAAAGATTTATTTATTTATGCATACAAGAGATGAGGTGTAGCCTGGAGGTGCGGGGGTGGGGTATATGTGCGTGGGAGAGTGGGGAGCAGAATAGACAGATTGAATGAAATCCTCTGCTGAGGGGGGCAGGGGTTGAGACAGGAGAGGGTCTGCTGTGCCATGTGGGTCAGCTCCCTGGCCGTCATCAAACTCAGGCCATAGCCGTGATAGCGCTGAGGCTTAAGCCCTAGGTCACCAGGCAGGCCCCAGAAAGGCTATTTAAACTAAACTAAATCTTTAGTTAACAATGAGCCTTGTCTGAATAAATGTATCCTTGATATATTTTGCAAGTAAAGCTGCTATGATTAACAAAACATTAAGGATATTTATTTTACTTTTTTCTCATTCTTTTAGATTTTCTAGTTTCGTATATTACAAGTGTAATTTATAAATAAATTAATATATTCTATTGGGGTCATAATCAAAGCAGTTTAGAGCATAGCTCTCAATAATTTAAAACTATTCATTTACAGTTAAGTGGAAGGATTTGCCATGCAAACCTACAGAAAATTTTTCAAATGGAAATTTATAGAACACCTTTCCCATTCTACTTAGAACTGGCTATTTGAAAAGCATGGCAAAGAGTCATATAGTGTATCAAGGGGTGAGGGTACCTGTAACAGAATTCTGAGAGCCTTGCAAATAATAAAAGTCATTATTTTGAATTCTCTATGCTCAATATAGCTCTTTTAAACATCTTCATGTAATCAGTAAGAGCTGATTCCTGAGAGTGAAATGTACCGGAGGATGGTAGATTCCCTTTGGAGTATGGGATTTGGAGCCTGAGTTAGGAGGCCTAGGTATATTTAAACAGATTTCAACCATGACAGCTAATCAACCACTAGAGTCAGTTGCTATGGAATGGCAAATGGAGAATCTTGGGGGCAATCTAACTTCTTGAAGTCACCTTAAAGGCTTAAGTAAGCTTAGACAGTTAGATGGAAATTTCTTTTCAATGGGAAGAGTCTAAATATAAATATAAAAATAAGTAATGCAAAAAAGGAAAAAAATAATGAATATAACATTTTTCTTTCCATCAAATATCAAGATTTTGAATGATTTTGTGAAATTAACTGGCAAACAACATTGTTTGTGAGTAGTCATGACAAATGCCTCCTTTCAGGGACCTCCCTAGTGACCTTGGTGTAAGTCTCAGCACTATCACTGCCATGGCTTGAGTTCAATCCCCCGCCAGAGAGCTGACCCACATAGGGCACAGGAGACCTCTCCTGTCTTGCCCGCTACTCCCCTCAACAGTGGATTTCAGTCAGTCTGCCTATTCTGCTCCCCACTCTGTCTCTGGTGAATCTGCTTACCCCCTCTGGCCTACACCCCAGTTTTTCAGCACACACACAAAAAGTCTCCTTTCATCTGATGAATGAAAATAATCTCAAGAATCACCTAAAACACCTTGCATGCTGCAGGCAGCCCTAAGAGAAGCCAACCTTGGTAAACAAGTCCTCACACTTCCAAAGAGGAGTTTCCAAATCCTGTCAGCAACCACTGCAATTGTCCTTGGCTGCATGCTCAGTGGACGCTTTCTTTCAGTTGGACCTCACATCACTTACTTGGAATGCTATACCTTCCCTTGCTCCCATCCAAAGGCTGTGAACACTTTGGAAGAAAATGCTGTGGAGATGGGAGGCATTATTTCAGGAACAAAATCTCCGTAGCCACAGGCTTTGGCAAAGCTTGAGTCTGCCGACGACAAATTGGCCACATCTGTTTTGTGTGTGGGAGGCACACTATATTTATCATCCGAGATGAGTCACCTCATAAAGGAGCATAATCTTCTTGAGCTTTTGTGTTTAAACTGCTCTCTGGTAGAGTGAGCTGTAGTATTTAAGTTTTAAGTGGTACATAGCTAGGCCTCCTGGTAGCACCCTGCCAAGAGCAACAATAGCTGGAGAAGAGAAAAATCCTCTTCCTTGCATTTGCTTCCAGCCTGTCGTTTTAATGATATCACTGCTGAAGCAAAGGCAGCGAGGATTCTCAAAGGGGCACTACCCTTAAAGACCAACCCATCCCACACCTGTTCTGGAATTGGAATAGCTGAATTAGAACAGCAGGGCAATGAGACACAAATACAAAGGATAGAAAGAACCAGAACTATTACAAAATACCAGTTAAACATCTCTAATTTAATTTATTGTTGCTCATTGTCTTCTTAGTATAGTCTTTAGCATTTTCTTCACATATTATGTCATCTGCAAATAGCAATAGTTTTATTTCTTCTTTTCTAATTTGATTCCTTGCCCAATTGCTCTAGCTAGGACTTCCAGTACTATGCTGAATAGTAATGGTGAGAGTGGATGTCTTTGTTGTATACCTGATCTTAGAGGAAAAGTTTTCAGCTCCTCACCATTGAGTATGATGCTAGCTTTGGATTTGACATATATGACATTTATTACACTGAGGTATATTCTTCTATCCCCATTTTCCTAAGTATTCTATCATAAAATCAATGATGAATCTTGTCAAATACCATCTCTGCACCTACTGCTATAATCACATGGTTTTTTCCTTTTCCTTTGTTGATAGAGTGACTTACATATGCAGGTTTCTCAAACTATGAAAAATAGATCTACCATATGGCCCAACAATTCCACTTGTAGGTATCTATCCAAAAAGTGCCAATGCATTAATTTGAAAAGAAACACACACTCTTATGTTTATTGGAGTGCTATTTACAATATTCAAGTTATGGAGACAACTTAAGGGCCCAGTGACAAAGCACTAGATTAAGATGTGGTGTGATGGAATACAAACTACTCAAATTTGGAAAAAGAATGAACTTTTGTCATTTGTGACAACATGGATGGAGCTGGAGATGATGATAAGTGAAATAAACCAGAAGGAGAAAGAAAAATGCCAAATGTTTTCACTCATATCTAGACTACAGAGAAGCCAAACAAAGGAATTGAAGAAAATAAACCAAAAGAAACCCTAAAATCTCTCTTCAGAATTGAGACTGCTATAAGAGGAAGAAGGATTAGGGTGGGCCTAGGGGTAGGAGGCCCAGTGATTTATGGTAAAGGACTAATGGGTGTTTGAGGTTGGGTGTGGTATGGTAACAACAGCTGAAGAAGTGTGCACCTAGTCCCCTAAATTATATACATTGTTGTCAACCAACGTTACCTCAAATAAAAAATTAAAAAAAATATCGTTCACTCATCAGTAACCTTCTATAGTAGCTCATAATAGGGATTCTGAATTGTGGTTCTCAGATGTGATATTCAGGACATAACTCTTCGTATATATCATCAGTTACCTAATTTTATTTTTCAGTTTCCAAAGTCTAAATAAAAAAACCCAGTAACTTTAGACCTCTTTGAAATTTTATGTTGGAGGCTTTCAAAAGTTCTTTTTCATTATAGTAATACTAAATACTATTGATAAATTTTATCCATGAGATAAACAGAATTTTCAAAGAAAAATGTTCAGCTTTGATAACTTTCTGAAGAGGAAGTTAATGTTCCCTGGTTTCCTTCCTGTAAACTATGTCTTAACTTTGCCCTTTATATTCTTGGGTAAGATGCTCACCTGGACCAATATTGCTCTGTGGCCTAAGTCTTCAACCACACAGTGTAAGGCCTATGAGTGGAACAGAACCTGTGATACTGTCACACATATTACCTCATTGTTTTACTCTCAGCATCTAACTTCATATGCTGTTCAAAAAGAAAAAAGAGGTGAGAGATCAGTAATATGCATGTCTGCATCTCTTTGGAGAGAATTATAGTCTGATATAGATACAAGATTTAGCTGACACCTTTTCTGTCACTAAAATTGAGTGCTGAGTGCTGGGTGGGAAATTCAGTCCCCATTCATGTTCACTTATTGTTAACAATTTGGAGGTAACATTGTCTGTGACCTAATTAGCTTTATGACCAGGTAATTGTGTGACTTTTAGTGCCTGGAGAGATATAGTAATGGTCTCTCTTTCTGTTCCATCCCAAGAAATGTCTATGCAGCCCTGTCTTTAGAAATATTCAGGATCATTTCACCATAATCTTTCCTTTGGGTTTAACTAACAGCATATCTCTTAAAATGTAAATGTAATTTGGAAGACATCACGTATTAGGCATCACCTATCCTCAGATTTGGAATAGGTTGGTTTTTTGTTGTTGCACAGTATTATAAGGGGATGTGGCTCAGAGAAGGCAAGAGATTTTTTGCATGGGAAGAACTGGGGTGTAAGGCTGAGGTGAGGGAGGGTGAGAGGATTCACCAGAGACAGAGTGGGGAGCAGAACAAGTGGATTGAGTGAAATCCACTGCTCAGGGGAGCAGCAGGCAAGACAGGAGAAGTTTGCTGCGCTCTATGTGGGTGAGCTCCCTGGCCGGGGATCCAACTCAGGCTGTAGTGGTAGTAGCGCTAAGACTTAACCCCTTGGCCACGAGGGAGGCCCCACTTACCCTTCCATTTAAAGTCATCTTGTGAATCAGTGATACCATTTTTTAGGGGACCTGAGATTATGGATGGCTCCAAGAAGAAGAGCACTACTGGTGAAAAAATAATGAAAGATAACTGACTGTAGGTTAAGAACCTTAAGAGGAAAATCTTCAGAATGTTCAATACATATTATAGATCTTCAAATAAACTCTGTTGTTCCTAGAACATAATAAACATCCAATTTATCAACTTGTTCAACTAACAAATAATAGCTGAAATAATAGCTGAAATAACAAGGAACCATTTAAGATTGTGTTCAACTTATATTCAGCCTCTTCTTCCTGCTTCATCTCTATATTCTTTGTCTTTTTCTTTTTTTCTCTTCTTCCTCTTCCTACCTACTCCCTCTTCTTGTTTTTTACTGCTGTTTTTGACACTTATTATTTCCTCTTGCCTTTACTTCCTGTCCTGACTCTACAGGTATTACCCAACCATTAGGTCATTTCTCTGTCACTAAGCTCTATCTCCTTCTTTAAGTTTTCTCTAAGCTGCCGAAACCCACCTTGATTTCCTAATTTGGGATGAATATGTAGTTACACACTATCTTATGTGGTTTCTTGTTATTTCAACTACTATTTAATTTTGTTAGTTAACAAGGTACTTTGAAGGTTGAAATCAGATCCCTATTTATCTGTAGTCACACAATAATTAGAGCAATGTTGGACATATAGTCTCCTAATTAAGTGTTATTGAGTAAATTATGGGTTTTTAATAAATACTCCTTTGTAAACTATCTTCCCTCTCCATGCTCATAGAAACACACACATTATTTTACTTTGAAGAGAAGGGAGAAAAGGATTAATCGATGATCATAATTTACTTGGCATAGTCATATCTCTCTCTTGCCTGGCTAAAATCTATCTTTTACTCCTTTACTTTGGCTATGCTTTTGCTGAAACAAATAAAAAAGCAAAAAAGAGATTCAAGGAAATTCCCCAAAAGAAAAGTGAACAAACAAAACCAATGAAAGATCCCTCCAAAAAGCCACTACAACAACAAAACCCATAACCAAGTGCTTATGAAATAAATAAAAATAATACCTTTATAAGGTCAACATAGAAAATCATACTATAGACTACAATTGGGAAAGAATTACTCAGTCAAAGTTATGTTTATTATCCTGGGATTGAAGCAAATATTTGAAATGAATTAATAGTGGACAGAGCAGCATCTGATTTTCCCCCACATAAGCCTTTTTAGATCAAGAGTACTTTGTGGCAAGAACATGAAATCAGTTGAGACCAGCTGACCTTTGCAAAGAATTGTAGCTGGTTAACTTCATAGTTCACTTCATATTGTATTTGAGACATGAAAGAAAAATCTTCCAGTCGCCATCTGCTAAATTATTCCCCTCCCTCCCCTCCTCCAAAGCCCACACCGAAAACCATCTCTACCACAAAATCCTCCAATGGAACATGCTTGGGATCCCTACTCTGTTGTATCATAGCAGTTAAGCAGCCATTTCAATTCTTGATTAATTCAAGCAAGCAAGAAAAAATTTCAGTAAAATAGGATTAAATATGTAGGCGGGCTTTTGCATTTTTTTTAATAAAATAGTTTTTTGTTTTGTTTTGTTTTTGTTTTTGCTATGACGTTTCTCCTAGTTTGCCAAATCAGTTTGGAGTTAAGTATATGATAAAAATAATTGAGTTTATTGTCACGCTTACATTTTCTGGGTTAAGGACATAAATTCCACACTGTATCTGCTAAGATTACAACTGATTCACCCAGATTCTTTTTTAATTATAGCTTCTCATGGGCTGAAATGAAAACCTTTTCTAAATGCTTAATAACAGAATGCTTCTCAGGGCTGTTAGAATTGTAACTCTTGTACAAAATGAGGGGTACTGATGTTGCAAAAGCTGAAAAATGTAATGTGGAGAGGGTCTTTTCTTTCTGCACCAGGTCCTGTTCCTCCGTGATTCCCAGGGAGGCCAGGGCTGGATGAACACCAGCACCAGGATACTCCAAATACTTGACTAAATTGGATAGTTTATGGAAACTCCACCACAAAGACATTCCATGTGTGCTGTGGAGTTGGGGTTTGGCTGTGTGCGTGGGCTTCATGCCTGCCTCTGTGCTGTGTCTTTGTATCCCTGAGCTTGGACTTTTCTTTAGCTGTTCTGCGTCATTGCTCTAGTGTTAGACCACCTTCTTCTTACTTAAGACATAATTATAGATATTGCAATGAATTCCCACCTAATGGAACTTTCCTCTCTCACTGAGAATCTGAATTATCTTTTCCCTTTTCTGTGGAGGCCTCACCTTCCCCTGGCCTTGATGGTTGGAGTAGTAGAGAGAATTGACTTTGTTTAATCAATGAGCCAACTTGGGGAGCCAGCTGTGAGGACAAGTATGGTGCAAACAAAAGAGAAAGACGTTACTTTATTTTACTTTACTTTTACATGTTCTACTTTCACCTGTTAACAGTTGGGAGTGAAGAGACCTTTCCCTTCTCAATTACATCACATTTTCATCACATTACCGCTGTTCTTCCTTCCATGAGACTTTTCTTAAAATAGCTTCTTCCTATTATTTATCATACCCTGAGATGCATTTCAGGCTATATAAATGATTTGGTGCAAAACCTTCCCTTCCATGTGCTCCTGGCATCATCCTCTAGCTTTAATACTTTTGACCCTGAATTTTCCTTGATCTGGTTTCTTTCCATTTCTCATTCTGAGGGCCTTGTGGCTCATTGCTTCCTGAGCGGCAGACTGAATGTTATCCTCATCAGTGAGGGTTTTGATTTCTGAGCTCTTCTATTTAGCACTTCCCTGCCCCAGTCACATTTTTCTTTTTTTTTTTTTTTGTTTCTTTCCCCCATTCAGCTCGGCGCTGACGCTCCGTCTTTGGCAACGTTATATGCTCACATGGGTGATTCTTGTTTCCTGTTGGACAGCTGCAAGTATAGTCAGCATTTTTAGTTGACCTTCGATCCTTCCTCCTGTCCAGCTCATCAAATCTCAACCTGGTTAGCCTACAGCAGTGGTTTTCCCTGTCTTTTTTTTTTTTTTTTTGAGCCCATAGAATATTTTTAGAGAGTGATCAAACAAAATATGAAGCCTTCCCTAATTATTGAAGACACTATTTCTACTCTCCATGTTCCCTAATTAAAAAATTAATTTCAGGCCTCCCTGGTGGCCTAGGAGTTAAGTCTCAGCGCTATCAGTCTGACAGCCTGAGTTTGACCCCTGGCCAGGGAGCTGACCCACATGGTGCAGCAGATCTCTCCTGTCTCCTGGCTACTCCCCTTAGAAGTGGATTTCAATCAATCTGCCAGTTCTTCTCCGCACTTTGTCTCTGGGGAATCCTCTCACCCCTCCAACCTCTGGCCTACACCCTAGTTCTTATATGCATAAATAAATAAAAATAAATATTAAAAAAAAAGAAAAAAAAAAGTTAAAAAATAATTTCACAATGCAGCTTTAGCATTCAATTTAGCAGTATTGCTTCCTGTTATCTGCCAACACTATTATAATACCCCACTATTTTAGAGAGAAAGAACATCAGGTTCATTTGCATTTACATGCTATAATCTTTATCCTCCCCATGCCCATTCTCTTTCACTCTCTACAGCTTACACTTTATCCCTCTCCAATATTCTGAACTCCAAACATTACCAGTGTTTCCAGGATATTGCACAAGTATACAGTTTTCCTGTGATATCTTCACTCTTTCCCAATCTGCAGACACATGACTTTTAAATAAAAAACAAAACCCATGCAGGGCCTCCCCGGTGGTGCAGCGGGTTGAGCACCGCGCTGTGATTCTGCAGCCTCTGCACCGTGGGTCCGATTCCTGGCCAGCCAAGGAGAAACCCACATGGCGTGGCAGACCTCTCCTGTCTCGCCCGCTGTGCCCCTCAGCAGTCTTATGTCCGTCTGCCTGTTCTGTTTCCCACTCTGTCTCTGGTGAATTTTCCCATCCTCCTGCACCTCTGACTGTACCCCAGTTCTTGTATAAATTAAAAAAATGTATTCAACAAGTATTTAATGAATACCTACTATTTATACACACTTTGTAAGAGTATGGATTGCTAGGAAATAAAACACAACAAATACAGACTTTTGTGTACTTGCTACTTTTTTATATACCAATTGAATTCTTTACTTTCTTTAAATACTTTTAAATATGCCCTAACTCACTAAATTCACTTCCTTTACTTTTATTCTAATCATTCCCTTCAGAAGTTAATTACAGTCTGGCTTTGCAT